AGTAAAATTACTTGAAATTTTATTAAGATAACCTATTTTAATTTTAATTAAAATAAATTCAGCACCTAAAAAAATATCTAGTTATATATTTTTTAAACAGATTTATTAATTATTAAATCCTAAACAAGCTTTGGACAATCTTGAACACTTGGACAATTTTGAACATGGACAAGTCAAAAAAAGCTTTGGATAGCCAAAATATACAACACTGACTAGGGTACTTGCTTATGGACTGTCTACGGACACATATAATTTTATGTAATTTTTACATATCAACCAGTCATGTGATCAATCATATATATATTACCTATTATACATATGTAGCATATCGATGCAGGGGCAAGTTATTACTATATTAAAATATATATCAATATAATGATAATACAAATTTAGATATATTGACATTTCTCTTCTGTTAGAGAAGTTATATGTATTGACTTATAAAGGTAATGGTTTTTAGCAAATATGTATGTATATATACATACTATCTAGCATCTGTATTATACCGTATATAATAAATTTTTGATATTTTTAAGAATTTAGATCTTTTATTTGTTTTTTTACAAATTTAATCAAGAAATTTACAGTTTAATTCAGAGTTTAACATAAAATAAATCCAAATCTACATAAAAATATCAATTTTTAATTTTATGATATCTTACTTTGCTTACACTAATGCATATTCTAGATTTTCTTTCTCTAAATATTTACATAGCCTTTCTTAAAATAATCGATTCTTTTTACAAATAGATTTTTCTATAATTTGTTTTTTTCAGAACATATATCTTCCTAACCACTTATAATAGGAGAAACAGGTATATTAGTTTGAGTTTTATGGCTATAAAATGTTATCTTTCAAGAATATAAGCAAAAGCAATTGATATATTTCGGTTCAGTAGTATATTATCAGAAAGAAATATAAGAGATGTATACTTGCTAAAATAATGAACAGGTCATTGAAAAGCATTAGCAATAGCATATCTAAAGAATGGTATAGATATCTAGTAATCTTTACTACAGGAGCCAGCTTTCCATTGTGTTATATGTTATATTCTTTTTCTTTTTCTGGAAACAGTTAAATATAATATGACTTGTAAATACAAAGCTTATTATAGATAATTTTTCAAATTTTAGGCCAACATTTTTTAGGCTTTCCAATAGATTTAGTAATAGCACAAAATTCACAATTTCTATCTTTTACTACAATCAAATATTCCAAAACATGTTCTCTCATAAATTGATAAATGTTTGCCTCATATAGTTTATAATCAGAAGGTTTAAAAATTTGTCTTAAAGGTATATTTTGTTGTTGAATAGTTATATTTTTAGACTTTCTAATATTGTTTAGTATTTTTTTCTTTTTTGCAGCAGCAGCATCTTGATGTTCACTTAGAAGTAACTCCTATCTAGTACCCAACTTGTGCACTACTTTTTATGGTAGTTTAATAAGAGTAAGTAATGGTGTATTTATTGCTTGGTTAATTCTTGTAATAAATTTTGTTTTGATAATATTATTCAGTAATTGTTAAAATTTTTCTTCAGCATTAACAAAAGTATTATAAAATTCAGAGTTAACAATAGCAGATTTTGAGAGATATAGAAGTTCTATAATGTTAGGTCTCTCAAGTAGCCACCTATTATCAATAATTGATAGAGGAATAGCACCATGTTTTGGAATTATGTATATACAAGGTAACTTGTAATAAATTTTGATTGTACATTCAAAAATTTCATCACTTTTATATGCAATTGGTTCTTTGTATTGTTGTAATGTTTGTTTAATTTTATTAATTTCCCATACAGATATATTTTCAATAAGCTCACTAAATCTAGGATTATGAAGAATAAAAGGATTAACTGCTACTTTATTGGAACCTGTATTCACTACAGCTTTCAAACATTGTAAATGTATTGCCTGATCAATTTTATGAAAAACATTTTCCAAGTCACTAGCTATCTTTATTGTCTATTTAAATACATTATAAGATGATTTTGACTGTCCAGTAGTTGATATTTCCATGTGGTAGTATTGCTTAGTATAGGTGTAAATCCACATTTTTGAATCTTTCATCCATGTCTGAAGATATGATTCTATTTTTTCAGAAGAGCAAGCTTTTTCTGCTACCTTTTTAATAGTATTTAAAAACTGTAAAATCTCTTCTTCAGATGTTGCAAAATGCAGGGCTTCAACATCTTTTTTAAATTTCTTATAATCATCATCATTATTAAAAAGTTTACAACAATTAACTTTTAAATTTTGTTCTAAAAGATGCTAAATACACAACATCTTGTTAGATTCCAGAAACACTTTAAAAGAGGCATTTCTTAATGCTTGATCTTTATTAGATATAAAAACACTTGGCAAATAACCAAAAGCATTATAGATTTTTTTATGAAGTGTTTGTAAAAACCATGTATATGATGCCTTATTTTCATTTTCTATCCAGGCTATTGCTATTTAGTAAGATGCCAATGCCCCTCTATCATTGCTTATATTAGTAATTTCAATAGTACTAACAAGTAAATATTTGTATACATTAGTTTTATATATAGAATTCATGATAAGAACTTTGGGACACTTAGCAACCTATTTTGCTGATTTAATGTGAAAGAAAAAAAGATATGTCAAGTACTCTTTTACTGATTTTAAAAGCACAACCATGTAATTACATTCTTCAAGAAGTTTAAAAATCTTTGTGTAGGATCATTATTAGAACCTTCATTCAAAGCTAATCTAATTCGAGCATATTTATTTATAATATCTTTAAAAAAAATAATTCTACTATTAATAACTTTATTAATAGCCACTGTAATAATATAGGTAGGTGCATTGCTATTATAAAGCTATTGTACAAGATTTTTTTGATTTAAGCTCATAGCATGATACTAAGGAAAAGTCACAATTTCATTCAACTCAAGCAAGGGATGATCATGTTCAAGCATTACGTTTGTAACAACCCACTTTATTTTAGTACTTAATATATTTGTATTTGTGTAGCATTTTTTTGCTTTAGCTTTAATATATACAGGGCAACCCTCACACCTAGTATTTTTTTTTTTTTTGAGTTTCTTCAGTTATATTCTAGTTGTTGCACCATTCTCTACCTTTAGTATACTATAAAACAATGTAGAGTGATATATTTTTGCATTCAGTAAGGTTGCTATCTTTTCTTGAAAAAGTGAATCTACTGACTTTAGCTGTGGATTTTGTAGCATCTTGAAATTCTTCTAAGAACTCAAAACTATAATTTACTTTAAGCATAGTAGGTTTTATCATTATTGTTTTAATTTTTTGAATACTCTATAATTTAGTTAAGTTTAGCAAAATCTAAAGAGCTGTATATTTCACTAGTAGGTAAAGATATAAGTAATATATATTTGTTAACAAATAGAGATGTATTTAATATAAAATTTTTTAAAGTAATAAATAGGGTATGTGTTTAATATGAAAATGGTTTGAAGTTAATAAATAGAAATGTATTTACTATGAAAATGTTTTAAGTAAAAAGTAAGAGTTTTTTAATTATTGTCAAACTAAATTCAATTAACCAAACAAAAAATCTTGGATTGTTTTTTTTTTTTTACTTATATAATACAAAAAAAAATTATTATATCATCTGCATACAAATTATATATAATTTGAAACCCCAATCAATTGAAATTAGACATAGAAATTGATAAGTTTCAAGCAATAATTAACTTGAAAATATAATGTTC